GTAGGACAGATGTTCTGTCTTCTTTGTTACTTGTTTCCTTTGTAAGGGTTGAAAAGGCAGAAATGTCTAGTTAGTTCCTATTTACAGAGTTTTTCCTAAATCATAAATGTGGTATAAATTCAGAATCAGCACAGCTTGTTTCTTCTCCAGCTCTTTTCTTCTTCTTTGCCATCTCACTGCCCAACTGTCACTTCCACTTTTTGGCCACCTCCGTAAAGCAGGGCCAGTGAATTGACAAAGGCCAAGGTTAGAGATGTAGATTAGAAGTTTGTGCATACGTCTTGTGCCATGGATACCCTGATACACAAACAAAAAGTACTGTTACTACTTGCCCTTGGAGGCTCTTTAAAAGATCTTAAGGAAACCACAGCAGGATTCCAAGTTTGCAACCTGAAGATGCTTAGAAGGAATTGGGCCTTTCAGAAACCCTGGTCGGGCTTCTGTCTCCACTGGATTGAAGCCTTTTTTTTTTTTTTTCTGGTTTTGCTTATCTGAATCTCTTAAATGCTTGAGGTCATTGCAAATCCAAACTAAATGGAGTTAGGAAGAAATGGAAAGACACCAGATTAATTTAATTTGTGTTGTACTTTGAATGCACATACCTGTGTATGCATGTGGGTGTCAATGGATGAGCATGTTTGACCAAAACTAGTAGGAAGTGAAGTTTAAACTTCAAGTTAGTCTTCAACAAAAAGGTGACTGGGTATTCAAATGTCCTATCTTACTGTTTGATGAGCCCCTTCTGCAGTGGATTTTGTGTGCACTTCATGCAATGGAAGTTTAAAAAGACAATTCTTTATATAGGTATAAAAAGACAACTTTATTGAAGTTGACTTTGAGTCTGCACTAGGTACATACTTTAAAATCTGGTTTTATGATCATGTTTCACTAGAGTGCTGTTAGACAACAAAGGGATTTTGTTGTCTAACTTAGTTGGGCTCTACCAATTAGAACTGCAAACTCTACGATGAATTTGGCATGATTAATTTGAAAACGAAAAACAGAAAAGTTAATTTTCTTAGGCACATGTATGCTATTTGTGCTGGGAACAACTTCTAAAAATGTAATTTTAAGCATTGGAGACCTTTTATTGTTCAAAGAAAAGTTGCTGACTTCATCACAACTATAAACCTAGCATAAACGGAGCCCAGAATAGTAAACTAGGCCAGAACTGAGGCAGAAACAGGTAACCTCTGACCTCTGACTTTTACTGGAAAACGATATGCAGCATAAATCCAAGGGGCCTTTTTCTTTTTGAGTGTGGTGTGTGTGTGTGTGTGTGTGTGTGAGAGAGAGAGAGAGAGAGAGAAAGATATTACATTGCTGTTCAATGCACTATGGTTAAGGTGGTGTCAGCATTTTCAATATGAAGCTCTACTTTTAGAATTCTACTTATAGTATGAGTTTTCAAAAAGGTGTAAATAGAATCTAAATTCTTTTTCCTGTAAGCCCAGAATGACTACATAGGATCAGAGCCTAGAATTTTGTTGGTTTCTTCTTGCTTTTCATTTCTTGCTTTTGAAAACGTACATCATCTAAGAATAGGCAGGTGGATTCAGGTGCACTGAAGGCTTGCAGACTGCAGAGGGACATTTGCATTGAAAATTTCAGTGAGCAAGTTAACTCAACATAATCTGATACAAGGATTGTCAGAGGGCAAATGCCCAATACTGGTCCTTCCCCTCTGATGTGCTCTAACAAGGAGTCAGGAATTTTGTGTTTCTTTTTCCTTCCAAATGTGTTTTCAAATGTTTCTTGAAAAATGAATTTGATAGTAATCAGGAGCCACATAACTTTCACACTGCTAATTTTCCACTTAGAAAACTTCTATTTATATTTTTAAAGGCTGCTATCTAGGTTTTATTATAGCATTTTCACATGAATTATCTCATTTGAATGATCTCTGTTGAGCCATTTAAACACACTTCGGGGTGACAGATAAAACAGGTCTAGCCCCATTTGACAGATGAAGAAGATAGAGCAAGGAGAAGTTGAGTGATTTGTGAAGGTCCTGGTGCAGCTTCAGGTTTAAAATTCCTGTGCCCTGTTTATCAGGCCGTCCTCATCATAACCTCTTTCCTCATCCCTCCATCAAAAAAACAAGCAAATAAACAAAAATCTTCCCCAAACCAAGCCAAACAAAACAACAATTATTTCCACTGTGATCAAATAGGAACCATGCTGATTTCTCTTCCCTGTCCACCACCAGGCTGGCAACAGAGGTGGTTGCAGCCACACCTTTAGTCTTCCTGGCCTTCCTTGTGGGGTTTCTCTGGCGCGGAGATTTTGTCCTGCCACATGCAGAATGATGCCTGAGAGCCTTGTGGCTGCAACGTAGGCACATTTCTGTGCCAACCATGACCTCTTAAACCTTTTTTTTCATCCCTGAGACCTGTGGAGCAGATCTTTGTGCAGCCTTTGGATTAACTGCGCACAGAGGCTTTTCCAGGTTCTCCTTGTCTGCCTTTTCTGGCAGGCATGGATGTGTAAGCTGTGCCAGCATTTGGCCCGTAGTGCATGTCCTAAATAGTTATTTACACAGTTTGAGTCCATTTTAGTCAACTGGGTAAATAACAGCCCTCTTCAAAAGATTTATAAATCCATAAATATGTCTTTATACATACCCAATAGACAGAAATAACTCAATCTGTCAAGAACATATCCAAAGAGGTGTTTCCCCCACAGACAGGAGTAATACATATTTTAAAACTTTCTCTACTGCATTATTTGTACTGCATTTCCTTTTCTTCATTTCTTTTCAATTTTCACCACTTCATTATGGCACCCATGGCACCAAAAATAAAAATAAAAACAAAAAAATGAAATAAAAAAGGAAGAAAGAGAAATAAGTACCTCTAGATTTAGCCATCTGTTAAATAACCTTATCTGCCCCATGATGTGGGCATGTGACAGTACTTGTGTGTCTGACTGAGTCCTATTCTTTTGAAATTTCCAAATAAATAAAATAAAATAAGTCATCCAGGAAATTTTTAAGTCCTGACACATTTCCAAATATAGTAAGAGTTCCTGGTTCGAAGACAAACAATTTGGGGGATTTTGAAGGCCTGATACTTTGCCAAATTAGTAGTCACTGTGATGATGTGTGATCTATGAAAAAGTTTCAGCATAAGTACTTTTGTAAACATAAAAAGATGCAAACACAGAAACCAATCCTGGGTCTTCTAAAGAAAAAAGAATAAGGTATATAATTACCCATTTTGTCTCATTATCCTGTATATATAGGACACCTATAGAGAATTTAATTGAGCGATAAATACACCACTTACAGTAGCTGAAATAAATATTGTGTTGTTGAAATATTTGCAGAATTGAAAACTTGTAACGTACTAGGTTAAGAAAATACAAAAGCTGTTATTCAAGGATTTAATTTTTTATGATTTATGTAATGTATCTTTTCGCCAACTCAAAATATTTATCATGGCCACTCTTCCTGGGTCGTCTACTTTCATTTAATTTTTTAACACTAGCGGCCCCTTGCAGGAAATTGGTTCCTGAATCTTGAAATCCCTTTGAAACAGCACGGAACAGGGAGGGCCTCACACCTGTGTTTGGCTGGGGACTCTGCTGCTGTTACTGCATTGATTTTTGTCTACTCTTTAACTTCCTCAAAGCTCTTCCAAAGATACTAGATTGAATCTTTATTTTATACTTGTCAGTTATTTGCTATTTTTCCCATTTTGTAGGAGAAAAAAAGTAATAGCTCAGAAATACTGAAGAATGACTGTAGTGTTGGCTCCGGGGTCTTGGTCTCTTGGCCTTGTTGCTGGTTGAGCTCAGAGTGTTACCAGGAATCTCAAGCAGTGTGTCACAATAGGAGGCGCCTGCTGGCCAATGAGGATGCCTGTGTCATGTGTCTTTGATCCTAGTGGTATTTCTTGGCTGCCAGGCTGCTTGTAAGCAGGGCCTCATTTAGGAGGTGTGTGATTTGAACTGGGAGAACCACAAGCAAACTTGGTGCCTCTTCCCATCAGACTTGTCCTGTTGTCCAGGAGGACTGCTGTAGCCACTCTGCGTCTCATGAACAGTTTAGCTAATGTAGTTAGCCATGACTGACCACATTTTGAGTTAGGGTATGTCTCCCTTTTTGGTTCAAATTCAAGAGAGCTGAATGAATAACAGTGATAAACTAATAATATAAAATATTAAAGGCGTCAATGTGGGTATCTTCATCCCCTCTCTTCAGTAGTGAGGTCACAGGGGCTCAGAGAAGCCAGGAGACTTTCCCAGGGCTACAGGCTGATTGGTTCTTGAGTTGCAGCTTGAATCTGTGCTATCAGACCCATGCTCCCAACTACTTTAGTATGGCTTAAAAGTGGAGACAAAGATCCTTTGCTACCAAGTCTTTCTGCTACCAGTTGGACAGCTCTTTGCCCATTCATCTGTGCTGGGCCCAGCACTGTGCTTGGTGCTAGCTGCATTCCAAACAGATCAGCTGGGGCTGAGAGTGAGGCAATACTGTGCTAGGGAGCGAGAACCTCGTTTGGTGTGCTAAGTGGAATGATGATTGAAGTATTTACAAAGGACGTGTGATGATTGATATGATTAATTGTATTATGTATTAAGAGCCTATACCATTTCACTCATTCAAAGAGTTGTTGAACTGAGAATAAGAGCATGGAAAATAAGCCAGGATATTTCTCTTTCAGAACATTTCCCACTTAAAGCTCATCTTATTTTCCTTTTGTGAGGATACAGAAAAAGTGTTACTTCTACACTGAAATTTGATGTAAAACATTTCAACCCTAAAGGACTTTAGTGGTGTTTGAACTTCTAAAGCCCACTTATGAACTTCCCCTTCTGGGGCCAGGGCTTACATCAGCAATAGTATCACTGAAAAGAAGAGAAAAATAACAGAACCAGTATGTTCCTTAAACAAGAATAATTGAAAAGAACTGCCATTTCTTTATAATAATGAATCAACAGTTGCAGTGCCTTCCAGTGCCCAGCCCCCTCCACGGCAGCGTTTGTGTGTGCTCAGG